GGACTCCACCATGGCAGGTATATCCAAGGAATGATTAAACATCTCAAGTACAAGTACTTTCTAGCTCATGTTGGCTACGTTTAATTTAAAGGACCTCAGACATTAATGTGTCTCTTGCAGGGAGTTATTCCATGTCTGACAGACTATTGCAAAATAACATTCATTATCTTAACCAGCTCTGGAGGAAGAACACCGGCTTAGATAAATCATTATATCCATTTTGCAAGAGGGCTGGCAATTTCATTAATAAATAATTCCAACTAAGAGGAAAAGAAAACCTTCAGAGGGCTCCAAGCATTAGGCACAGCCTGGCCACAGCAGAGAGGATGAGCAGGCCCTCTCTTGAGATGGGGCAACAGAAACTTCTGGAAATAAATCTAGACAATGGCAATGAGCTTGTAATTTATATTTTATTTTGCACAAGCTTGCATATATACTGCACATACATTCAGTTTAGAGAAGATGGAAGGCACACAAGGCAATTGAACTACTGTATCCTTTAAGTGGTACAAAGCAAAAAGGTAAAAGTCTGGAGAGTATACAAAAGCTTTAAACACACAAAATAAAATCCACCCCCCCCCCAAACATTTTTCCTGTGTTTCTCTTAAATTTAGTAGCTGCCAAGCTAGAATTGTAACTTTTTATCAATCAATTGTCTACTGCACCTTTTGTTTCCCAAACGGACAGGGGAGTCTTATTGTTTTATCTTGTCATCAATTAATATTACAGTACATCCTTGGTAATACAAAATTGTACACCATCAAATAAATTAGGATAAATTAAACCAATAAATTATGCAAAGTCTTCAGAACAATAGACAACAACAAAAAAGAAAAAAAATCCACAGTTGAAATTGCCTCTAGCTAAAAAATAAAATTAAAATAAAAAGAAAAAAAAATCCAAAATTGACTTTCTCAGTTCAGTTATTGTACTATCTTCAAATTAAAGGGTCTTTATTACAAAAAAAGAGCTTAATAATGCTATTTACAACATATTGCTAAATAATATAAAGGCAGTGTTTTGTCACTTTTGTAACTATATACATACGAGTAGTGGCTGGGACAATATCAGTTTAAACCTTAACCTTTGACTCTTCTGGGCAGCATTAAAAGCAACCTAAAGAGGCTTTTTTGTTTTTTCCTTCTTGTTTAACTTCTGACTCTTAGATGTTCTATGGTCATGAGATGGTTCTTGTGGTTGTCTAATATCTCACTCGAGTGGCACAATTAATGCAGAAAGGATGGATGTAAGAGAAGAATGTAAGCTCGCTGGTTTTACTAGATTCGTTTCTACATATCCCAGGATATTTGTGCATTTGGAAGGTGGCTGCTTCGGGAGAGAGGTGACTGGCTCAGATGAAAAGACTCCATAAAGTCATAGTGCCACCACCTTTCATACACTAAAAAGGATATTCCTAAGAAGATACAAAGGTTAAATACCAGTTTTCATCCCAGCTCTAAATATGAGCATTTTTTAGCTTCAGTTTATAGATGGTTTACAACCAACAGTTCTACAGAAAACAAAATTGCATTTCCTTCAACAGAACATTTAAGTGCAATACAGTAACTGCTTACTCATATAAACCAGTTACATTCCTTAAGGGGAGCTTTTTGAAAACAATGCGTATTGGAATTTTCAAACACAGTTGGTAGCAGAAGGAAACATTTGCACTATTAACACCAATGACTGCTATATAATACACATGGCAAATATAGTTTTTGTTTTCACTTCTCATGTACAGTGCTCATTTTGGGGGTTTTGTAAACCACTTTCCATTTTTAATATATATATATATCTTTCTGTGTATATATATATATATGTATAATCTTTCAATGCTGCTGGTGAAAATCCTATCTTTAAAGCCACAAAATCTTCACCTTTATTTCTTAATTACTATTAACCTGTGGAAAAAAACATTTTTTCTATTAACTGACTTCATATACATAGAAAAAAAATCTGCAATTTTACAGAAACTGTATTACCCATTCCCTTGACATCTGATGAAAGAGACTTAACTCTTTCAAGTAGAGAGCTGGATTTTCAAGAATGCTTTCAACTATCTACACAGTTACTGTAGTGTTGCTTATAAATTCAACAGATGTTTTCAGAATGTAGTTATTAAAATCTTATGTCTTTATGCAAGAACAGCCGTTAAGGTTGAATATTTACATTGCTTTATAAAAGTTCCCCTCGATTTGCAATGTTCACCCACATACCTGGTACAGTAACAAAGATTCTGCAAACTTAAAAAACACTTGGATTAAATAATACTCAGAGGCACAAAGCAAACCTCAGGAATACATGGGTGAACACTTCCTTAAATAATTACTACATTCTAACATCTTCCACGTGTTTACCATTAAATGTGAAACGTTCCCATTCAACAACCAGAGATACAGTAAGAATTAAATGTTTTGTAGTTGCAAATAGAACATTCTTTTCACAAAACATAACAAATGTCTAAAATAGGTTCTTAATCTAGATAGGAAAAAGGTAAGCTTTTCACTTCATACGCGTATTTTGTGTGTGTGTTGCTGTGTATACATACATACATATGTACACGCACTCACACGTTCCGCCCGTGTGCGTGCCTACATATGTATATGTATATGCACATACATCACGTATGAAATATTGCTTCTATACTACTTCTCCTCAGGCTAAGAAAACACAAGATTTGCACCACAGTTACAAAAAATTGGCTTCTACAAGAATTTTCAAAACTCGAATGCGGCTCAAACGATTGAGAAAAAATAATCTGCGTTATCAAACTGTTCTAAAAATTCTCTTCTTCAAAAACGTATTCTCCTGCTTTGTTTTTGTGGGGTTTGTGGGGGTTTTTTGTTCTTTTTTTTTTTTTTTTTTTTTGTTTTGTTTTGTTTTTTTTTTTTAATTCTTAAAAAGACACAAAGTATGCATAGCTATCAACATCATGTCAAACAGCCGGAAAATAAAACCCAACCAAAATCAGTGGTTATTGCAGCTGTAGGAATTGACAAATCAAGTTTAAAAGATGAAAATCGTAAGCCACAGAAGGCACAAGAACAATTGTACTTGTGGGGAAAAACTGGTATTTTGAAGGATTTTGTTTTCTCCTTCCGCTGGTGCATTAAAGGTCTAGGCACAGACTATAACCTCAAGTTTATATGCAGAAATAAATCTGAATTAGCAGTAAATGAATGGCAACATGGGGTTTCTACACGGGTTTTGCAATTCTTTTCCTGTGTAAACTTTTCATTACAATAAAAGTAGCCTCCTGCCTTTTAGCCATTTCGGATTGAGATCATCGGAAAGAGACTGGTTTCTGCTTGCAATTTAGTAGGAGCTCTGCCATGTATTTCTAATTTTAGGTGTATCGGGAGGCACAAAGGCAATATGGCTATAAAATGCAGAAAAAACACGTAACTGAAATGATCGAATTCTCATTTATTCCTTTTTCAAAGGAGGTTTTTATTTTGCTTTTAAGATGAAATTTCTACTCTTAATTCCTATGCCTCATTTACTATTGAGATTATGCTACTCATAAATAAATAAATAAATGCAACAACATCAAGTGTTGAGTACACAATTTCACTTATTTAGATTATGTGAATCACATTGCAGCCAAATAATAATAATAATAATAACATCCACAATAATATTATTAATAATAATAATAAACATAATAAAAGCAACGGTAAAATCACGTATTGAGATGGTAGCTAGTAGTATGTCCACATAGTATGACTATAGTATGGCTTTGCTTTCTTATGTTCAAGGTGACAATGCAGTATCTGATGGGATGCCAATGATGAACTTTCTGGGTTCAAACTTGAGCATTTATGCCACTTTTTCCCATAAATCAAAAAAGTGCATGAACACAATTTTCATCCTTTCTTACTCAGAATTCACTGGAGTTACATCTTCGTGAAGTGTAATGTTTACCAAATCATGCATTAAAAAAAAGAAAGGAAAACAAAAATGGAGAAAACAAAAGAAAATGAAAGAAAACAAAAGAAAAGGAAGGAAAAGACACATCCTGTCTATGAAGAATAAGTGCAGTATTAGGTACTCTCAGGGAGTCTAAGATAAAGAAGATTTGTTTTGCTTTTAATGCATAGTGAAAATGTTGGCACTTCATCCCATGTTATTGTCTGCATTGCCTATACTCCACAGATACTGCCAGTGCTTGAAAAGAATGACAGGGAATCGTAGGCTTGTGCTGTTTAATTTGAAGTCAGCAGGTTTGTAAGGCTTTATGCTAACAATAATTGCTTTCATACATTTCTGTCTATCAGCAGTATTTGTAAATGAAGTGAAATTGCAATGATCAGGTCAGCTCTTTAGTCATGTGGGTAAACTTTCACTCTCCAAAGTCAAAATGTAATCTGAAAATAAAGAAATAAGATCCCAATATCCTCAATGCTCTAAATATAATCCACAGCTAATTAGGAACTTCCTCAAGATTCAGATTGAATTATGTAGGGGAAAAGACTATTGATAACAATAAATTCTTACTGCATCCGTACAAAAGACGACAGAGGAAAGGACAAATGCGGAGTGCCACAGCATATTCAACCTTCCCCCAAACTTGTGGAGCCAGTATCTTTCTAAAAACATGAGAAAAGGAGAGCCACTGAGGAAAGCACAAGAACTAGCAGGTAGCTTGCTGTCTGCCTGCTGACATAGCATTCAGGCAAACCCAGGTTCACTGCAGACTTTACACTCAGATTTTGGCCAAGACTAGCTCCAGCTTCAGAAGACAAGTGCAGCCCATTGCTAAAATAGATTTCTTGTATTTTAAATCTGCACTTATTTACTGTAGTTTTAAATACTTACTGTATTTTAAATCTGCAATTACTTACTGTAAGTTTAACCCCCCAGTGTGGCTACCTGAACCCTGCAGGGACAGGAGAACAATGCCAGTTTTGCATATGATTGCTTAGGTTTTTATGAAAATGCAATTCTTATTCCTCTGATTAGGAAAAGACATTATATTTTACAGCTACAAAGAAGTCTTTTTTCTCTTTTTCTCAGTGCTGTGAGGTGAAGATGCTTTTTTCCTACTAAATCTAAGGTAATTCCAAAAAAGTGCTTTTCAGGACAGATGTTGAATAACAGACAAAATAATTTGTATACTGGAAAGGGGATTTTGGGGGGCAGAATGGACTAAGAAAACAATAAATTTAGGGACTGATGTGACTTCAGGTAAGACTGAGAGATGGCAATATAGGACTCTGAAGGTTTCATTTTTAGTCTATGGAGAGTGAAATGCTTCCACTTCAACAAGCTGACCATATTCCAGGATTAGTGGGGTTGGTACAACATTGTGCATGAATTACTGGCCTCACCCTGCAAGTATTAGATTTGTGCAAACATCCCTTGCTGCAACTTAGAACAACAACAACCTGTCGTGTTGCTTAGTGGTGCAGGATATCCATAATTTCTGTAAGGAAAGCATGAAGAATAGGATTTGCTTTTTGGGGTATCACTTCTAGGAGCGAGTACCTGAAATGGATGTTGTTTTGTTGTTTGTTTTTTTTTTTTGAAGTATGAAACAAAATCTGGTTATTGGTTAAAAAGTATATAAAATACAAAAAAAAAAAAAAAGAAAGCTCAAAGCTTATGAAGTGACTCCACAGAGTTCAGACCTTTAGCAGTATAAACATAATATAAACTTCATTGTCTGTAGTATTGTGCCATGACATTAGTCTCACTAAGACAAAATGCCACTTTGCAGCAAGCAATAAATCTGACAAAGCATTTTTAAACATAATGCCCTAACTTGCTAAGACAGGCTTTCACACTCTTCCAAACTCTTCTCCCTGAAAATTAACCCCATTGATTCTTCAAATGTTAAGGGTCTCGGGCAAAAGTAAACCAAAGGCTGAAGTAAAATAACCATCCCCTCAGAACTGAATGAAAACTTAAATCCATGAGGGATCACAGTCTAATTTCATATACATATATATGTATGCAATACACATATATATGAAATTAAAATAGGGACACACATGACTTGGGCATCAGAAGGGGACTGCTACTTTCATACATTCATAAATAGCTGCTGAACTCTCTACTCATGAAGAAGCTCTTGTAGGCAGTTTGGGGATTTGAAAATCTCGGGGACCTCACTGTCCAGCTTACAGATGACCTTGTATATGGCCTTCTTCCAGGAAGGATCAACATCTTTGCCTGCGATAATGGCATTGAAAAACTCCCGTAACGTGATCTGAGCCACTTCCAGGAATCTCTCTGGAACCTGCTGATACAAGGAGACAATGGCATTAATACAGTTTTCAATTTCAAGTCTCTGGTTCTTCAAAGGAAACTGAGCTAAGTTCTTTCTTTCAGAAAGGGGCTTACATAGCACCTGCATTTTCTAAATGTGGCAGCCTTCTATTCTCTTATGCAAAGCTGTTTATATATAGTACTATAGCAATAACTTTTATAACATGTGTCAGAGATCTTTGTAAAGTCTACTGACAGAATGTAGGTAACAAAATGGAACTCTCTGAGTATGGAGAGCGGGGGATTTATGGGATATAATTAGCAGGAGGGGAAACAAACACAATTGTCCTTAAGGAGAGAAAGCTTCACTTGCTATTCTACCCGTGCATCTACAGCTATGTTCTCCTCTCCACGTGGGATCTAATCTGAGATTTATGCATGCATAGAAAGCCCTCTGTAGCTCTGCATTTAACTTTGGCCACAACCAGTGCTGAAAGATACCAGAAAAATAGGATATCTCTGAATGTTGTTCATAGTTTAAAAACAAGCAAGCCTCCAGCTAGTGGCTTGCTTCTGTGGCTGCTGTGCACCTGTCCCACATAAAACGGCTTTCTCAGGAGACATTATGGTCTTCCCTTCTTTCCCTTTTTCCAGAAACCTACAAATAAAACCCCAAGCTCTTCAAAGGGTGCACTTTGCTCCAAGTTGCTACCGAGCTGGGATGTGTTAAACTCAGCCGGGTTTTCTAAATGTCACTGTCAAGCCCCTGAGCAATGGGTGAATGTTAGGAACAAGTTACCTCCAAACTTTGGTACATCATTCTAAGTATTTGTCTCAGGCACCAGCACCATCTTCTTAGCCTCTGCCTTAACTGATTCAAAAGCAATCACTACAGTGAACCTAGGTCGGTTCCAAGGTTGAAGTCATCTCCATGAAGGTATTATTCTCCATTTTTGTTATAGAAATATGGTTTTGCAGCTCTAGAACTGCTAATACACAGCTGGCCAGTAGCCAGCATGCTTAGAATAGCAACTCTCCCCTCACTGCCATTCTTTGCCCACTCCGGTAAGAGGAGTCCTCCAACCTGCACCAGGGGCCACTTCTACCATTCCCGTGGCCAACAGATACCTGGACAGATCTCATTTAATGAATGCGTGTCACATTACCACATCAGGGAAAGCGTCTTACTGTCTACTTCAGGCTTTTATTCTTCTTCCTTTAGAAGCCCCTTTCATCAAACTTGTCTGAAAATATGCATGTTTAACCTGTCTGAGCTCTGGAGCCTCACTCCCCTATCACCGCCAGGGCAACACTAGCAGTTTGCTAGCTGTGTTTTGCCATCAGATAAGCATGAGATCAGCTCCCCCTGACACCAGCTGACAAACTGCTTCCAGAAGCCCCGCAGCCCGCAGAGGTCCTCTGTCTACCTCTGAGAGTGAAATCCAGGCCCACACATTCTTCTGTGCTCCCAAAGGCTCTTCTGTGGAAATTTTTCATTCAACATAGAAATAAACATTTTTACAGGTGTTCTATTCCAGCAGTAATTAAGAGGGAGAAAATAACTATTATGTTTCACTTCTTCCACCTCGGAGAAATAACCTAAACCTTCTCGTAACTGCTGTGCTGTTTGGGCACTTGGTAATACGTCTACAAAAGATGCCATGCTAGTCTCATTCCTGCATTGCTAGAAAAAATTATACACTTCTCCGTTCATGCAGTTCAAACAACTACTCGGGTGCTGCTCATTGTCCTTGGTATCTCTGGGTGCTAACCAAGGGGAAGGAGTTGCTGACCACATGACACTAGAAAGCAAGAAATGTAGTAGATGATAACCAACTTTTTGGTAGACACAGTGGCTCACGAGGGCAAAACTTGTTGTTTTTTTTGCATTTGTGCTTGGGAAAAATGGTTCACACCTTTCAATTTTGATGTCCACTCCAGAGGACCAACCATAAATGCTCTTCTTCCAAGTTGTTGGAGATGGGAGGGTGGTAATTACAAGTACCTATATGAGAAGCATAAAGTCCAAATGCAAAAAGTCCTACCTCTCCCTGCATGGTTACACCTATGTCAGCTTTAAGCATGGAAGTGACAACCTGGGTTTTAAGTTGAGCCTTTTCCACTCGATTTCTGCCCGTGAATATTAAAGTTTTCTAGGTAGGGAATGCTGCTTTTCCATGAAGCAGGCGGCGTGAACCCCCTGAGCCACTACCTTCCAGCCTCCCGCACCCGTAAAGACACACAGCTTTTCTTTTAGACTAGGACTTAACTTTCAGGTGCAACTTTGTTGTACCTGGGTCACATCTAAAGATCCAGGCCCTTCTGAACCCAGCAGAGAGCAGCCCATAAACATAATAATGAACGAAGCCCTGCAGAGGCTTTGAAGAGCTCCAAAATTTCAGTTTATTCTTTTGGATGCTCCACCTCGTAATGAAGAGTTCCCAAGGATCTCCCCTACTCCTCAGGCATCAGAGCCATTCATAGCTCTTTCCTTCTGGGATGTTATTAGCCATTTTTCATGTCAGACTGGATTACACACATTACTTTGCATGTTGTAATGTGAATAGCACTGTGATTAATCCCCACAGGATAGTACGTCGGCCAACATTTTTCCTTTCTAGAAAGAGTAGCTGCAGTGTTTGCTTGGGGTTTGGTTCTCAATGTCTTTTTGGTTTTTATAAATTCTAGTGAAGTCCAGAGTCTGAAAATAAAGAAATATTTAAATGGATGGGGAGTTATATATTTCAGTGGGCAATTAATCAGTCGTCCATGTTAATGATGTGTCTGGGGGTGGCATTTCCCTGACCCTAAGTGATGGCGACCTATTCAGCACATCTTTACACCTAACTGACTGAACATCTCTGAAGTAGGAACATCTGCAGAAAATGCTTCAGTGACAAATAAACTCCATCTACATTGCTTTTAATAGAACCAACAATCCCTAGTATGAACCCAGGGCATTTTCTTAGCATCAGGTGGCAGCAGTCAATCAAAGAATCACACTGTACATTCACCAGGAGGAAAGACAATGAGGTCTGCTCAGGGGGAGGCTAGGTGGGCTTCAGGCTGAAGCCTCCACATCGGACTGATTTAGAAAGAAATCACAGTTTGCTGCATGCTTGGTCAATGGAACTTAGATTTGCTGCCAAGCAAAAAGTCACAGGCCAGACTTTGGGCCAGTGTAAATCAGCAGGGCTCTACCAGCCCCAGTGCAGTTATGCTGATTTACACCTGGTATGCACTGGCCCTGTTCCTCCTAACACAGTCCACCAACGATCACAGTGCCCCTTCTCAAGCCCTAGCCACGCTAACACATCCCCTTCATCTACGAAAACTGGGAGGGAATTAAAGCTCTCATCTGCTTTTGTCTATTTATGCTGGTTGAACTACTGGCATTTTCCTTGGCTTGAACAACAAACCTGAACTATGTCACTCCTGGGTTTGTGTGTGCAACTCCCCTGCCGAACCATGTGGCTTAAGCACTGTGGGGGAGTGCTTTGTTAAAAATACTCAACACTAAATATTTCTATGTGAGTAAAAGTATAGAGTACAGTTCCAATGGCTCAAAAGTTGGAGCCAAGTCAGATCTAACTTTTCTTTCATACAGAAGCATATACAGTTTCAGAAAGCAGTATGCTTTAAAAGTACTTGTTGAATTTCTGTTCAAGGAAAACAAGCCTGAAAAGGCAGCAGTGGCTGGGAAGGTGAGGGCAGATCCTCAGCTGGTCTGAGTCAGTGTCGCTTGACAAAAATCAGTGAAGCAACACTGATTTTAAGCCGACGAAAAGGA